TATACTACTTCTCCTTCTGCTCATCAGACCAATGCCTGGGGTTAAATCACAGCATATTCCAGCTGGGAAAGTGTTGGACCTTAAGAGTGCAACACCTAGTCACTATGCATTTGTGAGGCCCAGGAGAATATATCTGGCAGTGGTGGTGAACCTATAGCATGAATGCTTCAGTGTTTTATTTCTATCATTGAAAGCTCTAAAAGATTCACTATCATCGAAGAATGGAAACAGGACCTTGAAGGTACTGAATTAAGGGGACAGGACATAACAAGAGAGAATTCATTGATATGGGATCTCTATTCTGTGAAAACAATGGAATGTCTTGCCTAAGATTCCAAAAGAAGTAGCTGATGTGCTTTTTAAATGGCTCTTTGAGACTTAAAAGAGTGATGACACATACCAAATGTGCCATGGGAGATGGATAAAGAAGAAATCAATGGACTCAGAGTAGTGGTAAACTAGCCACCCCAATCCCCAGTGTATCCCAAGGAAGGATCTAGAAGAAACCTTGTTTACCAAAATGACAAGGATGTGTTGATGAGGGAGATGTTAAGTAGTGAAATGCTCAATATTATAGTTAGGCCAGGATACATGGTAGAAGATACTGTTACAAAAACAGATTTCTTGTTCGTAATGGGGATGATAAGACGCAGAAATAACAGGGGTCATCTGGTGACAGGTTAATAGCAGCAGCAAAGAATACACAATCATTGTAAGTGACAAAATTGGACTACTAGCCAGGGAATCCTTACCTGCAGAGTTATGAATGTGGTTGTTAGATCCCAGGTCACTAGGGGGAAAGGCAGATAGGCAGATGACAGTGACAATGCACAATGTATAAAACAAAAGAGTTCAGAAATGGAGGATGATAACATTAAGAGCCATTCTTTCAATGAAAAAAGACTTGATTTCTTGCCCAGATTATGGACCTGAGCCTAAATTTTAGACCCAGAGTTCCTGGGGGGAAAACCCTGCCACAACATAAAAAATACATCCAATAAGGATTCTCTTAATCTTTTCACAAAAGGAACTCTGGTTTATTTACTTGGGTAACTGTTCACTGGGGAAGGGTAGCGACCAGATATTTTAAGCACTGCTGACCTAGAGATCCAGAGCATTGACATGACCCCCTTAGCAGGAAGGGTGTCCAGGGCCTGAAATAAACACACTTCTGGCTGAAGTCCCAGCTCAGAATGGGTCCACTGGGTACATGAACCAACTCAGGGGTCACTTTCCCAGTTCCAAAGTCTATACTTGGAATGGACAGTTCCTGGTATTTGATAGAACCCCTCATATTTGTTCCTTGGTCTGTGGGGTTAATTATCATAGTGAAGAAAGCCAAGTAGATGCCTATGAAACTACCTTTTCTCTCAAATAATACAGCAAATAAAGACCAATGTTACATACCAAGGTGAATGGCTAAAGTTAGGCCATCTTAACTTTAACCTAAAGGATCCAGGAATGGGAGTCCCCATCATATTCTTATTTGATTTGACATTCTGGGCCTTGCAAATACCAGCCTGACTGGGTGCATGACACGGGGATACTGCACACACAAACAAATCAAGCAATTACAGTATTGTATTTGTATTTGGCCAGATCAGATTTACCTAGTCTCAAGTATCCAGTATTCAGTGATTGATTTGGTCAATGTGACTTTTTAAAAACCCGAGTCATAGGGGGCTGGGGATTTAGCTCAGCGGCATAAGCACCTGCCTTGCAAGCAGGCAGTCGTGAGTTTGATCCCTGGTACTGATAAAAAGAGAAAAACAAAAACAAAACAAAACAAAAAATCCAAGTCATGAAGATAAAAGAGTCAATTTTCTTTCATAATGGATGGACAACAATATACATTCATGTCTTTCTCTAAAACCATTTTCCTTTCTGTATCTTACCACAACCCAAAGGGACTTGTGAAGTGAGTCCCTTTAGTTATATAATGAATGACATAATTTTAATCAAACTAGATAAACAAAAAATAGCAAATTTGTTGTAATCCTTGATAAATCACATGTGCTCCTGAGTGTGACAGGTAGGCTCTCTGCAGATTTAGAGGTCCACCAGCTCTGAAAATATCTTAGGAATACAACAGTTTGGGCCTTATCAGGACATTTCCTCTAAAGTAAATGGAAAATTGTTACTTGCATATCTCAGAATGTTTGGTATCCCGCTTGGGATCTGCGTCATATGTAGCACATTCTATATGTGTGACTAGAGCTCTAATTTATTTACTGAGTTACACAGGAAGTATCCAAGATCCTAGTAAAGCCTTGAGCAGGAAAGGGTTGCATAAAGGTCTGGGTTGCAGTGTGAGCAGCTTTTTCACTTGAGCCACATGATCAGGCAGACTTCATGGAATTAGAACTATCAGTAGTGAAAAAATATGCTGTGTGGAGTTTAGGGCAAACCACAACAGAAGAATCATGGCATTGAAGTTCTGGGTTCTGAAGCAAGACTAAGTTATCTGTAGCAGATAATCATACAGCATTTTAAAAATAGTTCCTGGCATTCTGCTGGGCCTGACACTGACTATGTGACACCATGTGACCAAGTGGTCAGAAGGACCCATCATGATCTAAGAACTCTCAGCCCCATCAAATCTCAGAAGCAATACTTTAAAGATGTACATTTCTGGTTTTTAGTGAGGAGCAGGCAGAGCCAGAAGGCATGAGCTTGCTCCTCCAGCAGGTGGACCATATTCCTGTCTCTCGTCTCAGGCCTATGATTACAAGGTGATCAGCTGATGGAGAAGGAAGATGCCACTCACATGTAACAGTATGTAAGTTTATGTTAAGCAATATGTGAGTTTACATTAAAGACACTACTTTAGGGCTCGCTGTATAAGCCAATGGCAGAGGAAATTATTCCAGTTAGTAGAGTTTTATTTTATTTTATTTTTTATTTTTGTATAAGGAATCAAATTCAGGAACTTGCACTTGCTAGGCAAGTGCTGTGCCTCCAGCCCAGCTGCTAGAGTTTTAGATGGTTATTTGCTTCATGTGCGTGTAGGTGTGTGGGGAAAACAGGAGTGCTAGTGTTAGAATACAACCACACTACTAAGTTTGTGTTAGTTCATCAAATAGAGTAGTGTGTGCTGTCATTCTTTGATTGCCTGTTCATTTTTATGCTTTGATTTTGTAACTTGAACAATTGTTTCTAAGATAATAATATGTAATTTATCAACTAATGATTATTTCTTAATGCTATTTTTGTGAAATTCTGTATCATTTCTACCTTTGTTTTTTTTTAAATAAATTAAAAAGAAACATTAAGGACAGTTGAAGAAAACAGTGTGTCTTAAGAAGAAACTTGGCAACATTTACTTTTACAGTGGTGCCAGCATGTCTCATTTGCTGGGAATAAAAACTTTTATTAGAAAAAAAGGAATATATTTTGACTTGCAGATCATAGCAAAAAAAAAAAATGAAAGTTTGATCAAGGTCTCAGAAGGAAAGAGAATTGAAAGTTGTGCTCAGTAGAGTTTACAGAAGGTTAGGGACGTGGATCATAAAGACCTTTGTATTGTATGTTGTTACAAAAGCAAAAAAAAAATTAGCAATGATAAGACCAAACAGACAGAATAATAAGACAGTGGACATAAGCCAGCGTCTGACACTGGCCATCTACATACTGGAACAAAGGGCGTATGGAAAAAATAACCATGAGATAAGGATCATAGCTATGTATATGTGGGATCTCCCTCACAAAGGATGACATAGCTGCTGTCGTGTCAAATGTGAAAGAAGCAAGACCAAAATGCTATCATCTTTTGGGGAGACCAACCAACCATGTATTAATTACAATGAATTCTTTCTATCTTAGAAGGGTAACTATTAATTTTAAATAAAATAACAGAATAAACAGTATTCCAGATTTTAATTTGTCTTTGTTTTGCTGTAGAACATGTGTTAAGTTTTCTATGATGCATTATAAATTATCACAAATTTAGAAGCTTGAAATGTTACACAATTATCATCCCACAAGTTCTTTAGGTTAGGAGCCTTAGGCTTTGATTATCTGGGTTTTATGATTCAGTGTTTCACCAGGCTGTCCTGCAATGTCAGTCAGCATTGTGGTCTCATCAGAGGCTTGACTGGGGAAACCAGCTCCATTTTTTGATGGCACATGCAGTATTTAATTCTCTGACACTGGATCCTGCATCATATGGCATCAGTTCACGATTCATGTGCATTGGGTACAGAACCATGAGATTCACTGATCTGATTCTGTGCCATATCACCTAGAAGATGCTGGTCTGATGAGGCAGTGGAATGGCAGTGAAAATATATGCAGAGGCACCTTTTGGAGATAATAATCTGAAGGGATGTGTACCTGCTTTCCCAGATGTAGCTTAAAATCAAATCAATAACTATTTTATGGTGCTAGGTACTCAAAAGATAAAATATATTGGTCTGAAAAGTAAAGGTAGAATAAGAAGCAAACTTCCTTTTTTAGCCATCAATCCAAGCAATGGACAAGAATGTCTGCTTTCTGTCCTCATGAGGGTGTTAGGCACTGTCATTAGAGTGTCCAACAAGAGTCTCAGGAAACGGTAAGGTACATTTGTGCTTGGTCACTTCCCACTCTACCCCAGGAAGGTTGCAGGGATCTGGGAGCAGTGAACTGTTTGCACAAAGCACGCGAATGTGGGTGGGAATGAAGCTGGGGAGTGGGGTGCTGTGTTGCACTGCTGAGACCCACTTTGGGAGGGAGGTACCCCCACACAAGCTGCTGGGTGTGCTGCCTGCTGCTTCACAGCTGAGTTAGCTCCAGAGCTTGTGCTCTGTGAAAGCAATCACTTTGCCCCTAGTAATACCCTTTTTTCCTGGGGCATCTTCTATCTAAGAACTGGTCAGTAGGTCTCAAATTCCTGGGCCTCTCCACTCAGTCTGAGTATCTATAAAGGGCCATCCCAGGATCAAGCACCTGTGGGGTCTCCTAAGCTTCCTGTTGCAATCTAAACACAATTCGTATCTCCCCTTTCATTTACTCCCTGACAGGTATTGCGCTGCAGAGTAAGACCCAACAAACCACTCAGGGGCAATCTCCTTTTTCTGAGAAATCTGACCTACAGCAACATGGAACTCTGGAATGAAAAGACTGATGGGATGAACTAGATTATCCAGCAAAAACAAGTTGGCCACCCATTCCTTTCTCTTCATTGATTTGACTGGTTATTGTTCTGGGACCTCAAGGACACATTCTGGGGATACACTCCTTGTGAAGATATTGTCACAAATTACCAAAGATACCTGAGGTGCTACTTTTTAAGAAATGTTTTTTTTAAATCCATAAATATTTGTAGTACATTCCTTGTGTGGAGCTGGTAAATGTACCTAACACATCTTAGTTCCTTTTTTTTATCCCCCTCCTCTTCATCCATCTCCTTATCTCATTCCTACCTCAGAAAGAGTTATCTTTCTCCTCATATATCTATCTTTTATTTTGCTCTTTATTTATTCTCTAATACGAGAAATGTTGTGCTATTAAGCTGGTATGCTTGATTTATTTCATTTAACATTATGGTCTCAAATTGATTAAAAACTCAGAGTCTTTTTTCCTTCATTTTGTTTGAGTGAAACAACATACATTAGTGCTAAGAAATGTTGCATTCTCTCTGCATATAGAGTGTAGTAAAGGAAAATAGTTTGATTGATATATTTTCTACAAACTTGCACATTATGTATATGTTATAAATTAAATTTATTGCCTCCATAAAAGGCAATTGCACTATATTTTGCATATCTAGCTGTCCATAAAGATAGAAACATATCGAACCACAAGTGGTTAAACACAATAAAAGAGTACCACCCTATGTAACACCCAGCTAGGCAAAGGCGGACAGAACTAATCGGAGTTGACACCACTGAGTTCCACTTCACCATTTTGCTCTTGGCAGAATTCCCACTGAAGTTCATATGAGCTCTGCTAGAACAAGGACCCTCGGACACAGTTCACAGCTCTCGTCTATTGGAAATATGTGTAAGTTAGACTTTATTCCTCGGTTTCCTTCATGTTTGAGTTTGAGATTTTCAAGTGAAATTTTAGGTAGCTGGAGGCTGAGTCTGGAAGAATACAGAGGGAGGTGAGAAACATCCCAAGAAAGGGACCAGTCTCTGCTGATAATCTCTTGCATTGTACCGGCACGTTTTTGATAGAATTCTCAAAGGTGGTACAGAGTATGTGGAAGATTTGTGTGTATAAACAATGATCACTCAGCTTCATTAACCTAGAAACTACTTTAGTCAGAGAAATTGCTCTGTAACATTCTAGTTTTGTAGCAAAAAACTAAATCAAGTTATTTACTTCTCTGGATATTTCTTTTTTTTTTTTTTTTTTTTTTTTTTGTCTTTTTCCTTTTCATCGGTACCAGGGATTGAACTCACAACTGCTTGCTTGCAAGGCAGGTGCTTATGCCACTGAGCTAAATCCCCAGCCCCTTCTCTGGATATTTCTAAAACTATCTGAATGATCCTTATAGTTAGAACCAAATCATTCTGAATATTACTTTTATTGTTTGTTATTCATCCAGAAGTTTTCTTGAAATATTGCAGTTTTTGGACAAAAAATTATACTGAATAAAATTAAAAGCAAACACTGTTCCCAAACCTTACCTTTCTTAAATCAGGAGAAAACTTTTAACCTTATACTGTGTATATTTTATAGCAATTTGAGAAGGCAATGCTTTGTATTGTGAACTATGAAATATTCTCTGTTGAAAAGACTAGTGTAAATAAAGCAAATAAGCCCCCTAAAACATGATTTTGGTACAAAATTCTCAATGATTCATCACTCTAATCATTGAATATTTTATTGTCAGTTAAGGTAATATAATGCAGGAAGGAGAAAGTTGATAAAAATTGATGGTTGGAAATTTTGACTTTGAGTTGGTCTTGTAATACAATAGGAAGAAATGAAGGGGGCAAGAGATAGAAAACCAAAGTACACTTAGTGTTGTTATAATTTGCTGTATTGTCCTTTGGTTTGTGATGCATAAACTTCAATATCTTTTCCCTTTTCCCAATATTCTGCTGCTTTCTAGCCTGAGGAACCTTTCTCTTATACACAATTTAGCACAAAAATAGGTCTATGTCTTGATACTAAGCAAACTTCCAACAAAGGCATGAATTTGCAATGTTTTCCTCAATTACAAACTCTATTTGAACCACCAATGTAGTACAATTTAATGCTTTACCTTGGGTATGTTTTTAATAGACTGTTGGGTATATGCATTGATACACATCTTATATTTACTGGTAATTCCATCATTTAAATAATAAAATGTTGCAGTGAAATGAATTTGGAAATTTCATCTTCTACAGGTATAATCCTGGTACATCATATGTTGTCTCCATATGGCACAGATGAGTTGTAGAAACTCAAGTATCAACCAACTATTTTTGGTAACCATCTATATCCCAAGTTCTATTCACAGATGTTTTCCAGTTTTTATTCAGTAACTCAGTTTGGTGGGTGACAATGTATGTATTTCATGAATTAAATTTCTAGGAATGGAGAAAGAACACCAAGGAGTAACTCCCGGAGATAGAAGTGTACCATGACTGTGCCGCGCAAACAAGGACATATCATCACCCTGTTTATAGACACCAGGACTGGCTACATTACTGGGGACCTGGTGTAAAATGAAAATGAAGAGCTCACATTTATTAAGAATTTCAAGATGGTGAAACAGAGTGGCAACCAAGGATTGGCCCCTGTGTTGGATTTCAGGATCACACAGGTCACACATCTATGATCCTCACTCGGATTAGTGCCATTGTCCAAATATTTGCTTTCCAGGACTTTTCTCTCCTCACTAAGTAAATGCAAACACATTTTCATCTTGTATTATTAACTTTTTAGTTTCAAAGGAACCAATGATAATTTTACATCTTTAGAGAAAATGGTGCATAAAGTAAATTTAGTGGTTTCATGCTTTTCATTCGCAATTCCTATTATTCTGACATAGGTTAGACTGGAGGGTTAAAGAATGATGAATTATAGGAAGCTTTCATTGAAGGAATTGTCCTGAAGTAGTCAAGTGACAAGTGGCTGTCAGGTGTTACTGCCTGCAAGGAGCTTAGAAAGCCACAAAAATCAGAGGTCACTTGGTATTTGAAACTGCCACCAAGAGTTGCGAGACATGGGTCCATTAATTAAGGAGAATCACTTTCTCTTTTTCTCTCCTGAAAGGAACCTGTATTTATAAATAAGCTGTAAAATAAAGAAGTGCAAAGTCTGAGGAAAACAGTGGTATTCTGATGACTATGAATCACACCTCTTGAATTCATACTGATTTTCTTGCCAGATTATTTTTCACACACAGTGTTGTGTGAAGGGAGGGCTTACTCACAACAGATCAGATATGTTCAGGGTGATGTGGCCAAAGACAGAGAAGTCTTCTAGCAGAGGTCCACACAGCTCTGCCCTCTGGAAGTTTGTCTACTAGAGAGGTTCACTGACATCCAAGATTTCAGTTATGTAGTATTTCAAGTCTGGAATTCCCCACAGAAGGTTAATTTCCTTAAAGTCCATGTTCTAGAATTGGAGATTTTGGTTTAATATATTCTTGAAGAGAAAGAAATGTCTTTGTCTATTCTTTCTACTAGTGTGATTGTAGTTTTTATTTATTAAAGAAGGTGTATCAAAGTGAAAAATAAAAAGAGGGCTATAGATGTGGCTCAGCAGTAGAGTGCTTGCCTAGCATATATGAGTCCTGAGTGTCAAAAGAGAAGGCTGAATCTATATGAAGTGTGCAACACTGCTTTGATACTCATAGTGAACTGATTCTCCTATCATGCAGGTCAACATGTTCACCATCTTACACAGTTATCTTGATCTTGGGACTTTATTTATTTATTTATTTTTCCCCTTTGGTCTTTTTCGTTTTTTTCAGCGGTACCAGGGATCGAACTCACAACTGCCTGCTTGCAAGGCAGGCGCTTATGCCGCTGAGCTAAATCCCCAGCCCTGATCTTGGGATTTTAAATACAAACATGAAATAGAAAGCAAAGGGATATTAAGTATTTTTTTAAAAGAAGAATTCATTGTGGTCAACCTATTTTTTCTTTAATGCCTAGACAGTATGTGGCATATAGTGTTTACTCGATAAATGTTTAACAAATGGAAAGCTAAGTCCTTGATTACCCCTTATAACTATATCCAGGAGTTAAACCTAAAACCAAATCCAAATGTGAACTGAAATTATTTTACATATTGAAATACTGACATAGGGAATTGGGTGGCCTGCTGAGTGACCAATAATTTTTTTGACAGGTTTCATATGAAAAGTATATTTTAAAAACAAAATCAGAAAAACTTACAGATAACAATGCTCTTTGTATGCCTACCATAGTGCATGAAACACACTAAGTGTTTGCTTTCTTTGCCTATTTTGACAAAGGTACTAGGACTTGTTAAAATTACATTACCTTATGTCTAAGTAAACCACATTCCCAGCATGTCGGGGCAAGCCACTAACAACCCATTTAAAATAAGTCTTCTCAGAGCAAAAATGGGAACTGTCTGTTACAATTTAAATCTGTCCCAGAGCAGTTTCCTTGAGTTAACAAAGCTAAATTGTAAACTCGGGAACAAATAAATAAACAAATATCCACATGGCTTTGAGCAAGTGAACCACCACAGGGTTTCCAGTGGTGTAACCGTCTTCAGAAGCCTGTATCCTAATTAAGAGGTTAGAGTGCAAAGAAACCTGGGCAATGGCATGGGAGGGAATGTTAGAATACTAATGAGAGGAAAACTCAGGACAATCTGTTTAATAACATCATGGCCATTGTTCACATCAGAGTGACAAACAGAATACTCCAGTAAAGCTCTGTGTCCTCTGGCAGTTACGCAACGCCTCCACACTTCTTTCCTGTGCCAGAACGACTTAGCTTCTGTTTCAGCCCTCACACACATTAAACGGACAAGGGACGGAGAGAGCCTGCCATGACAGAGCACGGAAAACAGGAGAGTGACGAGAACTGGGTCACACCAGTCAAGGGGCAAAGATAAGCCTTGACTACTTCTAGGAGGAGCCAGACAGATATGCAATATAAAACTCTGACATTTCAGTGTTATGCATAAGCAATAATTAATGTTATTAGTTCTGCTTTATTTTTTCTCTCGAGTTTCAGTCTATAATATTTGTCACTATTGTTTGCTTTAATCTCCCTTTTGGAGTAGATTTCAAGTATTTGGGTAAATAAAAACAAATGAATAAAGCCAGCATAGATGACTAAAATCTATCAAAGTGCAGGTTTAAGGTATGGCTTTTGATAAGGGTGGGAAGTGATATTGAGGAATTGAAGGGCTGAAGGGCAGAGCGCTTGACATCTTTTTTATGAAAAGGTGTATTATGCTGATTTGGGTACTCTCTCACTGCTCACAAACACTGAGAATTAACACATTGAGCCTGTGTGGTAAAAGAACAATGCACAAACACATACATTTAGCCAGAGGTAAGATGAAAGGAAGTGCATTTGTCTTCCAAAAGGGATTTTGCTTCTGTCCATGATACACTAGTTATCCCATATTATATAAAGGATAAATTAAAATAGCACCACACACACACACACACACACACACACACACACACACCAACCATTTGACAGTATCACAGTGAAGCATTCAGAATAAAGGGGAATATACGTAGGCGAGCCAGACATTTCTGTTTGTATTAAGTTCTTTAAATGAGTTATAGAGTCAGCAGTTTAGGGCTAGAGAGTCTGCTAACTCCAAGCATAGAGGTTGAAGCCAGAGCATTCAAGTTTGAGTGGTGTCAGTGGACTGGGGATACAAAGATAGGGATTTAGAGTTATAGAGAGCTAGGATTTAAGGGGCCATATCTTGAAGAAAAGAGACTGGCAAAGAAATTATTGCAATGATTTATGTAAAATTTAGAGACAATTGTAACTCTTAAACTGTACTTGAGCAAAGTCAAATACTAAGAGTCTAGGAAATTGAATGGAAAACTATCAAGAGTCAAATAGTCAATCAAAATTTTGTAGGGACTCAATCTGGAATTTTGTATGGACCGAGGAGGAGGAGCTATGGAACCCACACGACTTTGTGGATGCCGTTGGAAGGACCATGCACTAGAACTGAGAACAGCATAAACACAGAGTCAAGTGGGTCAAGTGCCTGTTACCTGAGGGAAGAAAGTTAATTCCTCATGGAGGGTAGTAGCATCCAGAGCCTTTACATGCTTTTCACAGTGTTTGACGCACAGTTAAAATTGCCAGTCATCCTGGAAACAGCAAGACATGATGGAAATTCAAATATAAAAACATATAAGAGAAACAGAACCAGTGGGACATGATGATATTAGAAATAGAAGATTGCAATAAAATAGCTATGGTGAACACATTCAAGAAGATAAGTGAAAACTCGGGAAATTCACCACAAAAATGAACTTTATAAAAAATCAAGAGAAAAATTTGAGCTGAAAAATATAATAGTTGAAATTAGAAACTTGATTTATTTATTAGCAGATTTGAGGGGACAAAAAAGAAATATAGAAAAAAATATTCATGTTGAAGTATGCAATGCAACAAGTATGGAAAGTGGAGGAGAAGGGCATATGGGATTTGGTGAAGAAAGGCTGTATGTGTAACTATAGCGCCATAATGAGATAAGATTTTAGAAAATGGGGCAAAATATTTGAAGATACATTAGCTCAAAATTTTCCAAAGTGCTTGCTGTAAGACATTGAGCCATTGATTCAAGAAACTCTACAAACTCCAAACAGAGTAATATAAAGAAAGTCATACTTAGGTATGCTATAGTAAAAATACTAAAAATCAGAGATTAAAAATCTCTGATTTAAGAAGTAGCCCCCTAAAAAAGAAACACTGATAATATTTGAGGGAATGATACCTGACTTTCTAATGGGAATCAAGAAAATCAGAGGAAAATATATCTTCAAAGTGCTGAAAAAAGTTACTAATCTTAAATTCCATAGCCAAAGAAAATATTATTTGAAAATTAAGGCAAAGTAGATACATTTTAAAGCAAGCTGAAAGGAAAGATTTCATTGTGAGAAGCCATACTAAAAGACACACTAAAGGGAACTTCCTTGGCCGATGGAAAAGAAACACCTAAATGAGTGAGAATTCAAGAAGAAAGAAAGCACTAGAAAAGCCAGGCCAGAAACGCTAACCATATATTGACTTTTAGACGCATTAGCGATCTTGTGTGACTCTTACAACTTAAGTAGATTTATAGTCTATAATCACAATAGAAGACAAAAGGTAAGGATAAGTAGAGTTTGTAATGTTCTTTTAGAATAATAAAAATGATTGAATTAGCTGGAAAAAGAGAGGAAACAAAAAATAAAAAGAAGGAAAATAAGCAAGCAAGCAAGAGGTAAATGTGAAAAATAGTAAGGTGGTACTGAAACACCAAAATATCTGTAATGCATTTTTACAAGGAAGCGGGCTTCCTACTGTTGATTAGGGTACTTAAGTTTAAAAAACTAACATAGATAGGATTAAGCCAATAACAAATACAGCCTACTCCAAAGACATTTTTTAAATAGGAACTTGAGAATGTTAAAAGTAAAAGGATGAAGAAATATGGCATATTAATAGTCACAAAGTTGGATGTAATTCTAATATTAGATAAAGTAGATGTAGCTGTATGTACATTACTGGGTTCCAGATTTATTGCATTCTGGCCAGAAAACAGTGTTCCAATATTTTGAAACTTTTTGAAACTTGCATTATGATTAAGTACATGCTCAATATGTTTGTGCATGTACCTGTGTTCATATGTGTGTGTATGTGTTTGACAATCTTGTTTAATTTTTCTCAATTTCCTTCTCTTTGTTCACTTTTACAGAAAAGTCAGTTAAAACCCCCAACTATAGTTGTGTATCTTCTATCTGTCTTTCTCTGTCACTTTTTGCTTTGTGTATTTTGAAAGCTATATTTTTAGGTGCATATAAACATAAAGTTATCGTATCTTCTAGTGAAATTGATCAATACACAATGATAACATATCCCTGTTTATTTATAATAATGACATGCATGTCTTTCACAGAGAAAATTATAAATTACTCCTGGAGGAACATTTTTAAAATGAAATAAATGAAAGTTATAATGTTTATGGATTTGGAAAGCTTAACAGAAAAGATGTCAATCCCATCCAGAATGCATCTTTGTGTGTGTTTGTATTTGTATGCATGCACAAGTTCATATATTGAAAAGTGTCATCATCATTGAGCACAGTGGCTGTAATTTCAGCTACATGGGTGGCTGAGGCAGAAGAATTGCAAACTCAGGGCCAGCCTGAGCAAGTTTGTGAGACCAAGTTCAAAATTATAAAGGACTGGAAGAGCAGCTCAGTGGTGGAGCATTTATCTGGCTCAGTACTGCAAAAAATAAAAGTGAATCTCAATAAAAATTCTAGTAGGGGTGTGTGTGTGTGTGTGTTTGTGTGTGTGTGTGTGTGTGCATGTGTGAAAATAAAAAGACTGTTGCTAAAATTTTAAATGAGAAGAGCCAAAGGCAGTAAATAAAAATTTGAAACAGAAGATAAAAATCCCCATATTTGTGACAAAATTACCACTGTAACGCAAAA